TTCAGTGAAATTGAAAAGGAAACAATTCTCCCTAACTCATTTCTGGAGGCAAGTATTATACTGATACCAAAACCAGAGAAAGACCCAACCAAAAAAGAGAACTATAGGCCAATCGACCAATGAACATAGATGCAAAAATACTCAATAAAATACTAGCAAACAGAATGTGGCAAATCATCAAGAAGGTTATACTCCACAACCAAGTGGGATTCATCTCAGGGATGCAGGGATGGTTCAGTATATGCAAATCAATAAATATAATACACCATATCAACAGATCCAAAGGAAAAAAAAAAACAGATGATCATATCAATGCATGCAGAAAAAGCTTTGGACAAAGCCCAACACACATTCATGATAAAAACACTACAGAAAATCAGAATAGATGGTATTTACCTCAGTTTGATAGCAGCCATCTATGACAGACCAACAGCCAACATCATACTAAATGGACTAAAAAAGAAAGCTTTCACTTTAAAATCAGGAATAACACAAGGATGTCTACTGTCACCACTCCTATTCAACATAGTTCTGGAAACATTAGCCAGAGCAATTAGGTAAAAGAGAGAAAGAAAAGGAATAAGTACAGGGCAGGAAGAAGTGAAACTATCATTATTCACAGATGACATGTTATTGTACATGGAAAACCCCAAAAACTCCACCAAAAGACTCCTAGAATTAATCAACAAATTCAGTAGCATAGCTGGACACAAAGTCAACACTCAAAAATCAATTGCATTCCTATACACAAATGACAAACACACTGAGAGAGAAATTAAGGAAACCATACTTTTCACAATATCATCCAAAAAATTGAAATACTTCAGAATCAATGTAACAAAAGAAGTAAAATATCTGTACAGTTAGAATTATGCTATTCTGAAAAAAATGTTCAAAGAGGATTTCAGAAAATGGAAAGATAGTCCTTGTTCATGTATTAGGAGAACCAACAGTGTGAAATTAGCCATATTCCCAAAATTGTTATACAGCTTCAATGCAATCCCAATTAAAATACCATTAGAATACCTCACAGATCTTGAGAAAACATGCCTTAAATTCATCTGGAACCAGAAGAGACCCAGAATAGCCAAAGCAATCCTGGGTAACAAAGACAAGGCAGGTGCCATCAAAATCCCTGACTTGAAATTATACTACAAAGCTACTGTGATAAAATCAGCATCGTACTGGCAAAACAAGACTTGAGGATCAATGGAACAGACTGGAAGATGCAGCCACAACCACAAACACACTCAGCCACTTCATCTTTGACAAAGTGGCCAAATATGTTCACTGGAAGAAAGATAGCCTCTTCAATTAATGGTGCTGGATAAACTGGCTTTCCACATGCTAAAGACTAAAACTAGACCCATGTCCATCACCATTCACCAAACTAAAGTCAAAATGAATTAAAGATCTAAATATTAAAACACAAACACTATTTCTCTACTGGAAGAGGAAGTAGTAAAAATCTTGAAGACATAGGGGTAGGCATAGAGCTCATGAACAAAATCCAAACCGCATGGGAAATACTTCAAAGAAGCAACCACTGGGATCTCATCTAATTGAAAAGTTTTTGCACATCTAAATAAATCACCAACACAGTAAGAAGAAAACCCACAAATTGGGAAAAAAATTTAAGCAACTGTCCCTTGGACAATGGACTTCTATCTAGAACATATAAAAAATTAAAAAAAAATCAGGTCCCCTAAAGTCAAAGACCCAATACATAAATGGGCATCTGAGATGAATACACACTGCTTGATTAAAGAAATGTAAATGGCAAATAAATACATGAAAAAGTGTTCTACATCATTAGCCATTTGAGAATTGCAAATTAAACCAACACTGAGATTCCATCTTACACCAGAAAAAATGACTATAAAATCAAGAAATCAACCAATAACAAATGCTGGAGGGACTGTGGGGAAAAATGAACCCTTCTCCACTTTTGGTGGGATTGTAAAAGGGTGCAACCACTGTGGAGATCAGTCTGCACATTCTCAGTAAACTAGGATTAGAGGTCCCATTGAACCCAGCTATTTCTCTTTTGAATATTTTTCAGAAGA